AGAAATAAACAAAAAGAAAGTGGCAGAGGCACTAAAGGAGATAAACGAAGCAATAGAACAGCAAGCAAAAAGAATATGGAAGAAAAGAAATGAATTGGTAAGGAAATGGAAGAAGAAAAATGAAATAGAAAAAAAGTGTAAAAGAAAATGGAAGGACAATAAAAGGAAAAGTATAAAGAAAGACAAAACAAAAAAAGTGAGACAGACAGAAACGGAAAGAGAAAAGAAGACAATAATACATACATAATAGAATGGCTAAATGGAAAAGAAAAAGAAGCTAAAAACAACAGAATAGAACATATAAAGTTAAGATAAGGCTTGGTCAGCAAGCAAGGTGGTAGGCTGCACCCGGATGGTCTATAGTACCTGTGGGTGGATTTTAGTTAATATAAAAATAATATAGCCCAATCTTTATATAAATGTATATAAAAAACTGTCTATATTAATAAACTAGAGTAAAGTCTCACTTTAGCAAAAAAAAAAAAAAAAAAATTAATCAATCATGATTTTAGTTATAAATCGCAAGATAATAAATTAATCTTTATACTTAAGTTTATTTCCACTTTATTTCTACTATCTTGACAAAATACTTAGTTGCTATATATTTTTTTCAGATTTCTTATTTTAATATGTCACCTAAAGATTCAATTTATAAAAAAAAAAATATGCAGTACTTAGCAATACTATACGTAAAGAAATATGTTTATTCTGGATCAAAGTATCACCAAGTACCTGTTGTAAAGATGTAGCTAATCCCTTTAATGAAAAATATCCTGATCTTGATATTATATGACCAATTGTTACAAAAACATTAAAAAAATCAGACTATTGATGCAACATTAACTTGAGCAAAACAGCAAAAATAACTTATAAGCATTGTTTACCAAAATTTCTCTTGTTAAAAAAAGTCTTGAATTTTTAGATTGATCAAGTATCTGCTGCAGGATTAATTATTACTGTGACACTTCTTAAGAAAAAGGCTAAACATTTTGCTACTCTTTTTGAATATGATGAAGATTTTCTTCAATGGTCAAATAGTTAGGTATCAAGATTTAAAATGTGTAACAATATAAAAGCTTTTTGGCTTCATAGTGAAGCTAATTTAGCACTAATTGAAAATCTGTTAGAAGAAAGAAAAAAATTGCATGAATTATTATCACAATATAAAACAGAAAACATTTATAATGCAAATGAAACTGGTTTATTTTACCAAATGGCTCCAAATTAAACCTTTGCAAAGTGTCAAAGTGCTGGCAAAAAATTAGTAAGTTTTTAAAGTTTTTTTTATTAATATATTAATTACAGTAAATTTAGGATAAAATGCGAATTACTATTTTGTTAGCTACAAATGCTACTGAAACTTATAAACTTAAATCTCTTATAATTGGTACTGTTAAATCTCCATGTTTATTTAAAGGAATTAATATTTCCTTATTATCTGTTATATATCAATACAACTTAAATACATGAATGTGTAGTGAAATCTAGAAAAATTGGTTAAAATATATTAATAAAAGTTTTTGAATTCAACAATAACATGTGCTTCTACTTGTTGATAATACTCTGTCACATAATGTAATTATAAATGTAGATAATTTAAAAAAAAATAATATTAGTTTATTAAGTGATGAAAAAAATGAAGTAGTTAAAAAAAATAAATTAATTGTAGAAAGTTCCATCAATAATTACAAAAAATGAGATTAGTCACAAGAACAAATAACTACAAAAGGCAAAAAAAAAGGCAAAAAAGATCAAATTATAATTGAAAATTCTTTTTGAAAACCATTTAATCTTACAAATATCTGTATCTATTATCTTCCACCAAATACAACTGCTTACTTGCAATCACTTGATGCAGGAATTATTAGATCTTTTAAAATATACCATCATCAATATTATTGTTACTATATTTTGAATCAATTTGAGCATAATATTGACATTGCAAAGTATGTTATGTAATAATTTTAATAAAAAAATTTATTATTTTTTTTTGTTTTATTATTTAACACTTTTTTATATTTTAGAAATAAGTTAAATATAAAACAAGCAATTGATTATACTTTGCAAGCTTGGGATAAAGTTATACAACAAACAATACAAAATTGTTGGAATTTGACAAAAATTTTTTCTGAAACCAATCTTATGGATACTCAAGTAAATAATCTATCAAATAAAACTTTAAATACATAAAATGAAGTTTTGAATTCTTTATATAATCTTAATATTATCAATCAAACCATACAATATTTTGTTCAAAATATGAAGACATATATTAATGTTATTGAAGAACCTGTTATAACAGAAAAGTTACTTGAAGATAATAAAATTGTTAATATAATTAAGACTGATAATATAATAGAAAATAACATATTACTTAATTTGAATAAGGAAAATGAAGAATTCTCTTTACTTTTGATATCTGTAACAGCAACAAGCAATATATTGAAAATTCTTATTACATTTTATGAACAAACAGAAACTCCATTTAGTAATGATGAGATAATAATATTATGTAAAAAGTCAAAAAATTTTGAAGTAATGAAATTTGAAGAGAAAAAACAAACAAATTTAAATACTTGGTGAATTTAAATAATAATTTTGTATTAGTAATTTTTTACCAATAAAATTTTTTACAAGTATAATTTTATTTGTTTTATTTTTTTTTTATTTTTATTTTATTTATTTATTTTTTTTTTAGTTGAATAATATTAGATGCAAATTTTTTATTGATAACAATGTATTTATTATATCAAATATCTTTTGTAATATATGACTACAACTAAATACTAGCTTATCAACTTTTTTTTTACAAGTATAATTATATAAGAACTTTATAAATATTTTATATATAATATTTTTATAAATATTTTTTTTATTTATAAGAACACCTTTATATAAGAACTTAATTTTTTGGTCCAATTATGTTCTTATAATGAGGGTTGACTGTATTTAAATTTTTATCAAATTTTATTAATATATTATTATTAATTTCAAAATTTAATTATTAGATTTTGAATAATAAACCTAGAATATTAAGCAATAATTATATGAAAATTATTATAACAAAAGAATTTTTTAAAGATATTTGTTAAATAATTTTACTTCTTAAACCAATCAAAAATACAATTTTAGTTTTAAAATTCAAAACAACAACTTTAACTAATTGTTTTATTTAACTATGTCAATTGATTTATATTATCAATAATATTTCTATTTCTGTTTCAATTTTAAAGAATTTTTGAAATTATTGTATTAATCAATTCGATAAAAGATAAAACAAATTTGAATATCTAATATTTGTATTGGCTTATTCTTTATATTCTTTATATTATAATAAGTTATTTAATTTTATATTTATTATTATATTTAAGATTGTGGATTATATAATAGTTATTTCAAAAAAAATTGTTTTTATATTAATAATTTACTTAAAAAAATAAAAGATAATAAATAAGTAATTTTGGTATTAATCTTTCAAATATAAAAATATTGATTCAAAAAATCTCCATATAATTTATCTTATAATATTATAAAAAATACTTTTAAAATTTGGTAAATGACCTGTTTTGAAAAATCTGTGTATTTATAAAAAATAGTTGTTTAACATTATATCATATTTGATCAATTGTAAAAAAATCTTTTTTATATTAAGAT